ATCTGAGCCAGAAACTTGTTAAACTGTATCATTCTAAGGATTAAATGAAATAATGCATGTCAAATGCTTAACACTTGACACATAACAAATTTATAACTATTCCTAGTCCTAATTTCCTAATTGTATTTATTTATTTATTTATTTTTGGTGGTGCTAGAAATCGAATCCAGGGCCTCACACATGCCAGGCAAATGCTTTACCACTGAGCCACAGCTCAGGTCCTAACTTTACACTTAACCATGCAGAAACTGTGCAGTGTACTTTCTATCATTCTGCAGCATTCTCAAGAGATACTGATAGGCTAAGTATCTTCAATATTTTTTTTTAAATGAAAATCTCCATCTGCCTGAGGGATCTAGGAAACCATTTCAGATTGTTCTCTCTCTCAATTACAGACACAAAACACAAGGAGCCTTCAAATCTTCTGACACTACCACCCAACATTTCAATGGGAACAGTTGGTAAGTTGTGGAAAGAAATAATGAATATTCAAAATATCCCCCCCCAATAATACCAGAGATAGGTTCTTCAAGTCTTCTTTCAAATACAATTTATTCTTATATGCAATCCAAGAGTGGCTAATCACAACTAAAATGTCCCTTCACTGTCTTCTATTCAGAAATAACATATTCCTCCTCCCCAATCTCAACCAAATTTTGCCATCTCCAGCCTCCTAAATATAGACTAGAAAGTGTGAATCGTTCTCTGCTTTTGTTTTTCTTTTCTTCATGTAGTAAAAGTCACCAAAGTCTGTGGACAGTTCTTTGGAAATGTTTCAAATTCTTACCTCTCTATTCCAATCTTACTCCACCCATCTCTGTCAAAGTGATGCTCCTATAAAACAAGTCTGAGTTTGGCACTGCTCAGCTTAAAAATCGCCTACTTACTGCAGCCTGATTATAGGAAAGTCCATCCGAACACCTCAGAATGACCTAAAGATACTAAGTACTATGACCTCATTGCATGGCGAAACCAACCTAGCTTTAGGGTCTCCCTCCACTTCACTCTTGGCCCCTTTCTTCATACATCCCTTTTCAATACTTCTGTAAGCCACCGATGCTCCAAAGGTCCTCAGTATGCACCCAGTTACAGCGCAATGAATTTGTTAGTGAAGCTGACCATGGGGATGGCAAAAAGCACCCAATTAAACTTAATTCACAGTGCTACGTGAGAAATGATAAAACCCAGAGAAACTGTGCTCAAAGGAGCTTGCACCCATTTGAACTTGCCCTTGGGACCAAGTGGGCTCAGCACGTGAACTCTCAAAGGCAAGGCCACCAGAGACTTAAAGGCGAGGAACGGGATCAGCTTTTAACGGCCACCCTGGTACCAAACCCCAGGTGTCCTGAAACGGAGACGGACTGGACAGAGACACGAGAGTTTCAAACCCCAGCCCTGGAAACCCCAGAGACGCCGCGTTCCGTTAACCCTGCCCATCTCCAAAGCTTCCGGGAGACGGAAACAAACTCTGGTTTCTCTTCAGCGTTTAACTCTCTGTGACCAAATAAATCTCTTAACTCCAACTCTTATACCTTAGCCATCAACCTTTCCCACCTGAACCTCGTCCCTGCCCATCCTTTCAGCGTGCCCACTATCCCATAGGGCATCTCAGGTGTTCCTTTTTCCTTATTTCGAAAGCCTGAAAGAAACTACTCCCTCTTCTCCCTTACCTGCAATTGGAACTCCCCCTCTTCGTACCGGATCGGTCCGAACTCCACACCACCTAGTTGTTACGTTCAACCCACGTTCCCTCCGGACTACTCCTCCCCCACCGGCATCTCCGCTAGGAAGGCAACTTCCGGTTTGAGTCCGCGGCAGAAAAAAGTCCCCCTTCCTGCTGCACGCGGGGCTTGAAAGGACGTCGGCGTCGCGGGGAAGGCGAAGATGGGAACACTTCCGGAAGGGCTCCGCAGAGGCGTGGCTGTCCGCCCTGTAACCGCAGCCGCAGTTTTAACTGCGGCTAAAACTGACGAGGAGGGGCGGGGCGGGTGGCTTCCAAGCTCGCCGAGTGTGAGTGGCTGGGTTTGGGGAGGTGATGTTTCTGGAAGCTGCTGGAAAGCACTAGAGTGGCGGAGGTGACGCCGACGGCCAGGGGGTGGGGCGTGATTAAAACTAGTGCGCGGCCCGCAGCGGAGGGATTACGCTGCTGAGGAAAGAGAGAACCGTGCGTCTCTTTGCGCCCTGCCAGGGCCGCGCGAGCCGGGGCTGGCCACCCCGGGGGCCCCCGAGTGACCCTGGGGGGTGGCGCAGCAGAGGGGAGGACCGCCATGGAGGCTCTCGGCTGGCGCGTCTCCTTGGTGCCACGGTCGCCACGACGGGGCCACGCCGGGCACCCCTAGTCGGCTCGCTAAGCCTCGGTGAGAGCCGAGCTGCCACAGTGCCTGTTCACAAAGGGTCACCACACACGGAGCTGCCCCTCCCTTCTCCCTAAACCCCACCTTCGAGGCCAGGGGCTTTTCCACCAGGATTCTGGGGTGTTTCTCCTCCTTTCCTCCCTCCCAGATCTTCTAACGGTAAGGGGAGTAGCGAAAGCCCAGGGACGTGGCTCTCCATGACCCGTTGTGACTCCTGAGCAGCCGACCCGTCCCTGCTGCACTGGTTTCAGCTGCCCTGCCTTGTTTTCACTTCAGAGGAAGGGGGAGTTCTCATTGAGTTGATAAGTTGCGAGGCTGCTTTCGTAGGGAGGTCATGTGGTGCACGGGACGTGGTGACCGCGTCTGCTGTGTCTGGAGTCTGCATTCTAAATCTCAGGGCAGCCTATTCAGAAGTACTTTGGGGATGATTGTTTCTGGGTCCTAGGATAACAGTTTGTAGTTTACTGACTATCTCTTTACCTCGTCACCGTGTTGGGCATTTTGGCTTTTTGGACTGTGGGTTTCTTTCAAGTGCTCAAACGAAATGATGATATTCTGGAATAATGCTGATGCCTTTGATAGGGTGATAGGAAGGAAACAAGTCCCGTGTACGAGGAAATTAGTGACTAAAAGAGATTTTAGTTTGTGATACTTCTGAATGTCAATAGCCAAGAAATCCAACAAAGAATTGTTGGGTTTTTTTCCTCCAGGTGAAAATAGGCTGGTTAGGTTTTATTTACTACTTTTTTTTTTTGGTAGTTGTACTAGATTATTAATGTACTGTGCATTCGTTGTAAAATCTAATAATAAAAAAATTCATTATTTTGAATTTATGAAAATTTGGAAAAGTAATATTTCCTCCTGAAATAATAGCTTTTTTCTTGCTCTCCAGTGCCATATCCATTTTTAGAAAGAAATACAGTAATAAACACTTGCTGAATGTTAATTCAAATTGAATAAAACCAAATGCAAATGTAGTAAAAAATTTGAGATTGCAAACCAACATCATTGACTAAGTTATGTCAAAAAGTAAACGTTTACAAAGTTGATTTTTATTCTTTGAGTGCAATTTTTATTTTTATTTTATTTTATTTATTTTTTTGGCCAGGAAAGATGTTAATAATGACAGGAATAATAAAATGGAGATGGATGGGGCTTTCAGTTGTTTTGGTTGTGTAATGACTCCAGAGCCTTTCTCCTTGTAGAAAGTTAGGAAAGTCTTAAAGGAGAGGATTCAGATATAGGCGATTAGAAGAATTTGTCTAGAAAACTCCACTTACATTTATGTTAGAGAGCAATGGTCCCAATTGGTAAAATTGTTTGTATTTCTACTTATTCCTTAACCAGTGTATTTGGAATGCTCTGAGTACTCCAGTGGCAGAGTGCAGTTACCTTCCAGTGGCTTCAAGCTATTGCCTTCACTCCCTTGTCAGCGGCATGGAACACAAATTACACTTCTTTATTTCCATTTATAATCTCACGTTTAATACATGGAAACTTGTTTTTATTATTTACTAATATAGTGAACGACTATAGTAGTACAATGCCATACAATTAGGATCTCCTTTTTTTTTGCGCTTCATTTTCTCACATGATGTCAATTCTTAATAGATTGGCTCTTTAACCAATAAACTTTTTATCTCAGATCTGGAATATAAAAGCTGCCTGCTGTGATTCCTTGTGTGGCTTCATCCAAAAGACAGAGACAAGTATTCATACTTCTTAGCAGCACCCTGCAAGTTCAGTGTCTAATCCCTTATGTAAATCTAATATTCAGGAAGCTTGGAAAATCAAAAGCTTTTGAAGTTTAGAGACACAATTCATCACAAAATACAGCCTGCATTAATGAGAATTACATAAAGTTTTTATTCCATTTGTTTTTCTAAAACAATATTAGTAATTTTGATTGTGGGGTTCTGTTCTCAGTCACTGTTTTATGGAGTGTTAAATAATGATTTGTGTACCTTGCAACATTTTTAATTCCAAGAAATTGTTTTTGTATACCCCCACCCCACCCCCAGTTCTGGGAATTTTGCACCCAGGCCTCTTTACCCTTGAGCTACATCTCCAGCCCTTTTTATTTTTGAGACAGGATTTTGCTAAGTCTCTGAGGTTAGCCTTGAACTTGGAATCTTGCTTGTGAGACGCTGGGTTTGATCCTCAGCACCACATAAAAATAAACAAATAAAATAAAGGTATAGTGCCCAATTATAACTAAAAAAAAAATTTAAAAAAAAAACTTGAGACATTTTAGTATTTGTCCTCAGTGATTTGATTTGTTAGAAGGGAACATGCATTTATTTATTCTGCTCTATAAGTGCAATTGTAAAGAAAGTAAGTGCAGCCATTTAGTGATCTAAACGAGAAATTATTAATCCCAGGATTTAAGGTTGTTTTATACTTTAAATTGTAAAATTTAGATAAAACCTGACAACTTATAATGTAGCCCAAATTTACTTTTTGCCCACACAAAATGAAGACAGTATGATAAAGAGTCTTACAACATATTTTGGAATATCTGATTTCTATTCCAGAGTATCTATGTGACCTTACACAGGTCACTTAATTCTGAAGGCCTTGGTTTACAGATTATAAAATGAGAAGTCTGAAATAGATGGACATCTTAGAAAGGTCTTTTATAGTTCCACCATTATACCTGCAGATATTTACTTTTTAAAAAGTGTTTCCCACTCGGGACATGATCCCATTTCACCATAAAGTGCTATCTTATTACTCTAAATTTGTTGTGTTGTTTTGGGTTGGTAGTATATTTGTATGGTTCAAAATTCAAAAGTGTATGCAGTGAAAAGTCTTCCTACCACACCTATTCCTCAGTTACCCAGTTCCCTGCCTAGGAAGCAACAAAGGCTAACAGTTTCTTATATTTTTTTAATTATGCATATACAAGCAAATAAGTACTATTGGTGTTAATTTACCCCTCTTTTGATATAAGTGATATATACAATGCATGCTGAAATACCTTTGTTCACATATCTTATTTATTGTTCTCTATTACTTAGCAAGCAGTTTGTTGTTTTTATGACTGCATAATATTCCATTAAGCTTCTTCATTATTTCATCAGTCCTCTCCCCTTTTGGATATTGAATGGTTTTTTTTAATCTTTATTAAAAAGTATTGTGCAATGAATTACATTGTATATTCACCTTTTTCTACCTATGTGAATATATCTGTGCCCTTAATAGTGGCACGGATGCATCCCCTATGTTGTAGTGGGATAATGGAGTCAATGTCCTGTTTAGTTCTAAAGTAAGCACAAGACCTTGGGTTTGATCCCCCAGCACCACAAAAATAAATAAATAAATAACCTGAAGTAAGACTAGATATATGAAGTCACATAACCTGAAGGACTGCTTCTACATTTAATCTCTAGAGGAAATAGGTGGTTTGTGTTCAGGGACAAACACAAATCTTTAAACATTAAAATCATTCAGCACAGCAAGATTTTCAACAAGAAACATATGAAAACAGACTGACTTCTGTGCTTCCAAACCAATGCTTATTCCAAAGCATATGCTATTTAAACTTATTTTTTCTTATACATTTGGTTAAACATGTAGTTAAATTTGTCTATGATGCAACTGCTGTGCATTGTCATTTTACCAATAAGAAAACACCTAAAAGAAGTAAATAGTTTACTCAAATTTACCCAACACAGTGACAGACCTGGGACTAACACCCAAACCTTCTAATTTCTTTCTTTCTTTTTTTTTCAGTTTTTTTTTTTAGTTTTATTGATTTTTTTTTAATACACAACAGTGGAATGCATTATGGTTCTTATTACACATATAGAGTACATTTTATTTCTAATCTCAGACTATTCCAACATATCATCCACCTTCGTAATTAAGTGGGTAGCTTCAGCCGTAGACCTGATCTGAGAATGCTCAGTGGTTAGGGACTGCTTTAGGTACATTTTTCTCTTCTTAGACCTTAGACTAACCTAGAGTTCAGAAAGCAGCAGTACATTTTTCTAGCAACAAAATGACATTCTATAAGTACTTTTTGAAGTAATCACACAACATGCTGATTAGCAATCAGGAGGCCTCCCAATCAAAAAATTAAGCTTATATAGAGAAGCATTCCTAATTGAAACATAGTTGTCAATTCAAAATGAATTTATCAGTCATAAGGACTGAAAGGAATTTAGGATTATTTGGAAATGGGTAGTCTGAAATTCCCCAGAGTTCATGCCATCATTTAATTTAGCCAGGAAATTTAAAACAAGAAATCACCAAGAAAATAAAAACAAACAAACAAACAAAAACATAACCAGAAGAGAGTGATAATAGAAACAATAGCAAAATAATCGAAAAAAAAAGTAGAAGGTTGGAAGATGTGCTGTAGTAATGGCATTGCATCACATGGCAATGCTATTCCTTGACTTCGTAGAACTTGCTCTTCTCAAGCTTTTGATCTCAGCTTCAGTGTCTTATATCAAGTTGTCCACCCTGTTACAGAAGCCCTCTGTCCTTTACACCCACACTAATTTTTTATTACCTCTTACTGCTGTTTTCCTCATGGAATGAATGTGTAATAAATTCATATATATATTTACTTTCTCTGTATTAGGTTCTGTGAGAACTTGGACTACATCTGTTTTGTTCATATGGTGCCCAGTACATACATAGTATGGACTTGAATGATCTTGGTAACTTCCAATTTCCAATTAAAATGGTAGACTTCTAAAATGGAATATTGTCCAGGTTTTTTTGTTTTGTTTTGTTTTTTGTTTTCTTTTTTGGGGGGTGGTGTTGGGGATTGAACCCAGAGCTTGTGCATGTTAAACAAGCACTCTTAAAAATGAACTACAGCCCTGGCCACTTAAGATGGAATATTTTCAATAGTATATTTCCCCTATATTTTTGTATGTATTAGTTTCAGTGTATATGTCATTGAGAAAAACATTAAATTTGTCAACAAGCATCCCTTAAATATGCAAGGCACTGTACTAAATATAGGGAGAATCAAGGTGAATAATGCA